GCTCTGGGAGGCGATTTGGCTTCGGCATGGCCCTGGCCTGGACCACCGTGTCTCGGTGGACCTCCTTGGAGTCGTGCCGCAGGAGCGCCGCGGCGTCTTCGACACGGCGAGCGACTGGGGGCAGCATTTGCTTTGGCTCGCCGCCACGGCTTCCTCCTCCAGCTGGGCCCACGCGCCATGGCAGGACGAGGAAGGCAACGACGAAGGTGACGTCGAAGTTTCGGGCCACCCTGGATTGTCTAGGGACGGTAGGTTCTTCCAGGTGATGCGCAGCGACGCCACCTGGACGCTCGCGTTTTAAAGGGCCCAGCACGGCCAGACGCCGACCCTGAATTTCAAGACCTGCGGCTGGTGCGGCCGCTCTTGAGCCTCAGCCCTCCGGTGCTCGACGTTTCTGGCTCCCCGCGCCCCCCGCCCCCGCACATATTTGATTCGCCCGTCCAGCCTCCCCCCTGCCGTGGCGGTGGCGGACGCAGCAACGGCCCCGCCTCTCTCTCCCGGCGGCGGCCCTCCCACGTGCTTCCAGGACCCTCCTCTTTGCGGTGCAGCGCTCTACGCACGTGCCGCGTACCGTTCCGTGTCATGCCTAGTGTTTAGAATGTGAGAAATGTGCTGTGCCGTGCCCACTTGCGTTGCCGTGCCTTGTCGTGCTTAGGTTATGTCATCTGAAAAATGTGCCTCGTCGTGCCTGGTTCTAGAATGCGAGAAAACCTGTGCCGTACGGTGCCAGCGTCCCGTCTCGTGCCGCGGCTTGCCTCCAGAATGCAAGGAATGTGCCGTGCTTAGGTTCTAGACTGCGACGAATGTGCCGTGCCGCGTTGTGTCCGCGTGCCGTGCCTTGCCGTGGCTAGGTTAAATTTTAGAATGCGGAAAATGGCTCTGTCATGCCGTGCCCGCGTGCTGTGCCGTGTCGAAGTGCTAGACTGCGACGCATGTGCCGCACAGTGCTGTGCCGTGCCGTGAGCGCGTGCCGTGCCCTGCCATGCCCAGGTTCTAGAATGCGGGAAGTCTGCCGTGCGAGGCCCGCGTGCATTGCCGTGCCTTGCTGTGCCGAGGCTCTGGGATGTGCGCCGTGTGCCGTGTTGTGCCACGTCTAGGGTCTAGAATGCGAATCATGTGCCCTGCCGTGCCCGCGTGCCATGTGCCGTGCCGTGCTTGGGTCGCAGACTGCGGTGAGTGTGCAGTGCCGTGGCTAGGTTCTCGAATGCGAAAGGACGTGCCGTGCCTGGTGCGGCGTCGTGCCGTGGCGTGCCTAGGTTCTAGAATGCGGACAAACAACCGTGCAGTGCAGTGTCGTGCCGTTCCTGTGTGCCGTGCCGTGCCGTGCCTGAGTTCTAGCATGCGGCACATGCACCGTGACGTTCCGTGCGCCGCGCTGTGTCGTGCCGTGCCGCGCCTTCTTTCTTGCGGCTCTGACCACCGACACCAAGACGCCCGTTTTGATGTTGACTCACCACGTGTGTTTTCGTGCAGCGTTGCTTTGTGAGGGCTTCCTGCACGGTGCACGTGTTCCATCGCACAGCGTAGGGGGCAGATGGGAGGGCGGCGTGGAGCGCAGGAAGGTTGGGCTCCCGGCAGTGCGAGGAAGGGGCTCACGGAAGCGAGGAGGGGATGAACGCGAGATTGTGGCAAGATGTGCACAGGAGACTGGGGTGGGAGCAAGGTGTCGACCGAAAGTGCAGGCGCAGGTTACACCATCTGTTCCGCTCCACATCAGGTGCCTCCCGCCGAGAGCTTCGTGGGGAGAATGATGCAGGCGCCAGCAAAGGTTACGCAATGTGTCTCGTTCCATATCAGGTGCCTCCCTCCCGCTGAGAGCTTCGCGGGGGTGCCGCCGCAGTCCCACGCGAGCTTCAGAAGCCAAGTGTTTCGGTGGACCTGCTTTTCCAGCTGCGTGCTCCTGGCTGGCAGCCAGTCTTCGCCAGGATATGTGAGAGCGAAGGTCTCCAGTCCTCCTCCCCCTGCCCTCTCTCCTCCTTCCTCGTGCCTCTTGCGGCCTTCCCCGCTTCCCTCCTCTCGACTCCTCTCCCTCTCCTCCCTCCCCCCTGTCATCCTCCCTCCTCCCTGCTCCCTGTGCTTCCTCCGTCCTCCAGTGCGTCGTCCTCGGTGCTCCGTTCTCAGTGGTCCTCAGCGCTGCCCCCTCCCCCCCCCCTCCCTCCTCGGGCTCCTCGCTCCGCGGCTCTCGCTCTCCGGCCCCTCCCTCCCCCACTCCTCCTCCTCCTCCCCGGCTCCTCGCACCTCTCTCTCTGGCGCTCCCCCTTCTGCGCCCCCCCCCCCTCCCTCCCTGCCCCCCCCCCCGCGCCTCCCTCGCCGCCCTCTCCCACCCCCTCTCCCCCTTGGGAGGCGGGCAGCGCCGCCGCAGGACCTGCTGACGCAGGCCGCGCGGCGGACCTTCGAGGTCGCCTACGGCGAGTCCCGGTCGAGGCGGGGCCAGCTCGCCGCCACCGCCCAGCTGCGCACCACGGGCCTGCAGGGCTCGGCCGTGGTCGGCGGCCTGCGGGAGCCGCCGGGGGCCCCGCGGCGCCGCGGGCGGCGCGGCGCGCCGCCCGCGGCGAGCGCCGCCCGCCCGCGGCGGCGCTGTCCGCCCTGCGATTCGCCACCGCCCGCCAAGCCACCCCAGCCCGAGCCGAAAGCCTCCATTTGCCCTCCCTCTCGGGTGGGTGGTGGGGGGGGGTCGGAGAACAAGGAGAAGACGCAGATGGAACCCGTAGGTACCCCCCCACCCCACCCGACATCGGGGTCTGCGGGTTGGGTTGGGGTGGTCTGGCAGGTAGTCGATTCGTTTCCAGGGCTCCCGGATGGGGTCCGAGCGGTCCGAGCGGGTGGGGTCGGGGGATCGCGCCGTATCTCAGAGCGTGAATTACCTACCCCGCTTTCGCTTCCAGGCAAAACCAAGCCATACCACGCGCCTCCTCGTCAAGCGGCCTGACCAGTACAGGCTGCAATTTGGCATCGTTTGGTATCTCTTGGAAGCGAGGGTGGTCAAAAGCGAGGTAGGTTGGTTTTCCCCCTAGTATCGTCGGTGCATCGCCGATGCGGCTTGATGTGCAGCGTGACTTGCGCCACGCCGGCGTCGCCGATGTCTCGCCGATGCCTCGCCGACGTCGCCAGTGCATCGCCGGTGCATCGCCGATGCACCGGCGATGCACCGCCGATGCATCGCCGATGCATCGCCGATGCATCGGCGATGCGGCGCGATCCTCCGACCTCATCGACGTCGCCGGTGCATCGCCGGTGCATCGCCGATGCATCGGCGATGCACCGCCGATGCATCGCCGATGCATCGCCGATGCATCGGCGATGCGGCGCGATCCTCCGACCTCATCGACGTCGCCAGTGCATCGCCGGTGCATCGCCGATGCATCGCCGATGCATCGGCGATGCGGCGCGATCCTCCGACCTCATCTACTCCAGCCCCATCTAGGAGGCCTCTATCGATGCGGTCCGACTCCCAAGCGAGCGACGGAAGAAAATTTACTACGGTCGAGCTTATGGTCAAGAAACCTCCTGCTGGGCCAGCGTTTCTGAATCAACCTTCCAGAAAGCCGGCCCAGTTTCTTGAGCGCGTCTTCCCTTCTAGGGTCAACGACATATATTGGCCCATATTTGTTTTAAGAAACTTCCGGGAAACTGGCCCAGATTTCTGACATTATTATTTTCTCGATCATCTTTTTCGGCTTCCCCTGCCAAACTATCCCGACCCAACTCGAAGGTCCCAGGCACACCCAAATTTCGGGTTGGGGTGTGTATGGGTTTTACGGTGTTTTCTCCGTGTTCTGGAAGGCCCCGCCACTGGAACTTGGCAGGCCGAATTCGCGACTTCGGGTCGGGTTGGGTTGGCTTGGTGGGTAGTTTTAAGTCGGGCGTGTCCCCCTACAGGGGGATTTTCGACGAACGTAAAAAAAACACAAAAATACCCCAAAAAGGTAAAAAATACTCCAAAATGGTCCCCAGGCTATTTTTGGTTTCTTTTTTTGATTATTCTTTGGGTATTTTCTATTTTTCGTCGAAAATCTCCCTGCAGGGGGACACGCCCGACTTCAGGGTAGTCGACAACGGGGCCGTCTTCGCCGACGCTAGCCCACTAAGCTGCCCGCGTCAGGTCGCGCGTGCGCGCCCTCGCTTCAGAGCAGCCTGCCGCGCTGGCGGCCCGGAAATACCCCAAATATAGTCAAACAATAGTCCAAAAATAGTCTGGGGACTATTTTTTGCATATTTTTTGACCTTTTGGGTTAATTTTTAGGGTATTTCTTATTTTTCGTCGAGAATCCCCCTGTAGGGGGACACGCCCGACTTAAGCATAAGGTTGCCGTGCCATCTCTCGCGTGAGACCCGTTTTGGATCGTCGCTCGGGCAGCGGTTCCGACCTCGGCCCACTGCGGCTCCGGTGCGAGTCGGCCTTCTCCGGGCGGGAGGGGCCGAGCCCCATCCGCGATCCCGAGCGAGATCCGATCACGATCCGGCTCCGCGCGGCTTCGGGCGCGGCCCGATGTCCGCTTCTCCGAGCCGATGCGATTTTATGGTTCGATGCATCTCAGGCGTGGCAGTCGCCCTGGCCGACGCCCCCGCGATTCCGAGGGGCCCGGGGGCCTCAGAAGCTGCCTCCAGCTGCCCTCTCCTGCTCTTCCTCCTCCTCTGCTCCCCTGGGGGCGAAGTGGGTACTGCTAGTCCGCGGCCGCTTCTGGACATCGAGCGCGCCGCCAGCAGCGTGCACCTGCATCTTCCTGAGGCGTGTCCCTTATGCCATGGCCTCTCTATTGACAACGGTACTCCTACTCCTGGAGCTCCTCGTGGGTCAGAGACAGAGAGAGAGAGAGAAAACAAAAAAACGAGAGAGAGAGAGAGAGAGAGAGGGAGAGAGAGAGAGACAGAGAGAGAGAGAGAGAGAGAGAAAAAAAGAGAAGGGAGAGAGAGAGAGAGAGAGATCGGTCACAGTCCCCTCGACGACAAGAAACTACAGCAGCTGCTAGCGAACATCCGCGTCGCAGCCCCCACGGTCGTTCGCCTCGTGGATCCGATCCATTTCACCGTGCAGACTTATGGCAGCAATCAGCAGGCGAACCCGTAGAAGCCACTAGACCCGCTACAGGAGGCTCGGTACTCACCGCAGCTGGATCTCTCTCCCTGGACATGGACGCCGTAGAAAACTACATCGTGGCAATAATCAAGATATAGATTGAGCAAGTGGCCACAAAGCAGCGGGACCTCTCATTCGAAGAACTCAAGAAGCAGTTGGTCGCCGAGCATGTAGCACACATCGGCAGAAAGTTCACCCATATCGAAGGCAACATCAGCGAGATGCGCGGACCTTTCCGCCAACAGCAGAAGCAGCAGGACCTACTGCGGTACAGTCACATAGCTACAGAACTTATTGGCCTCAGCGGAAATAGTTGTTGGCATGGTCGACGCTGAAGTCGCAACCAGACACGACCTAGAACCTGACTCAGCATCATAATCATCTGCATCAACACACCCGCCTCCGTCGCGAAGGATAATATCGTTCAGGTTCTCACTCTATTGCTGCGAGATGTTTGCGAACTGGCCGAAGCTGGCGACGCATTCCTTGGAACGGGTTCCGACGACGGACCTTCGCCCCGATTTCAATATCAACTGCACGGACACGAAGCCGCTGCCGCCGCCAAAACCCGCAAGCCACTCGGGAAGTTCTCATTACTTGTCGGACAATGGAGGAGACTTGCTGCACCCACGCTGCGTTGTTTGATTCTGTTGTTCCAGCTAGAGTTTTGTATGGCAGCGGGTGCTGGACTATGACCGCTGACAGGGGCCGCCGCTTACTGACCGAAAAACGGCGAAGTTTGCGGTTGGTAGTCCAAACTTCGAGGCGTCGGTTGCCACGTGAGATGGATTTGGAGCCGTGGGTGGGTTGAATCAAGAGGGCCATTGAGAAGGCAGCAGCTGCTTGCCATCAAGCTGGCTTGACATGCTGGACAGCACTGCAGCGCGAGCGCGAGGACGCGCTCAATGATATTAATCCCGAACGCAGTGGATGGCCGATGGGCGAAATTCGTGTTGGAGTGGGAGCCGGCGGGATGCAGAGCGCGAGGGAGGCCGTGCAGAAGGTGGTTCGGCTGATTCCACTTGCCCCTGCATATACGTACCTGCAAGGTGGGGCCCGCCGCGCGTGGGGAGGCAGCTGAAGGCCGCGCGCGGGCAGCCCTCCACGGGCGCGAGGGTGGAATCCCGCTTGCCGTTTTTTTTTTTTTTTTTTTTTTTTTTTTTTTTTTTTTTTTTTTTTTTTTTCTCTCTCTCTCTCTCTCTCGCGCTTTCGCTCTCGCTCTCTCTCTCTCTCTCTCTCTCCCTTCCGCCAACGGCGTGGGGGCCCCGCTATTCCTCTTTCCGGGTCGGAGCCCAAGACGAGCTCGAGGAGAAGCCCTCGCCGCGAAGTGGCGAACCGATTGTCTACTGGAGCCGCGTGGCCGCGGGCGCGCCCTCTGCCGACCTGGCCAGTTTGCTCGACGGCAGCGCCGCCAACTCCTTCTTCGAATGCCTCGCCCAACCCCTGGGCGATGTGGGCATTGCGTGGCGTCTTTGACGCTGTCCTTGCTCGGCGGCAGGTACAGCGGGCCCCGCGCAGTCGCGACGCGCGAAGGGCGGCGGTCATCGGTGGCGAGGACGCGATGCGTACCCCCGGTCACTTCGTGCCTTGCAGGTGTCGTGCTTTCTACGCCATGACCCAGGCAAGAGACACAGCAACATTTGGAGTACCTCGGAACAGGACCTCAGACATGCTCTACATCGTGGCCGCATCTTTCAAGACTCCGACCTGCCCTGGCCGGTCCCATCGCAGCCTGCTGGTGGCATGGCCATTCCCATTCCGAAGCTCGGCGACCGTTTGAAGGCGTTCCCCGCCGCTGAAGTTGCACTGGGCCGCATTTTGCGTAACCGCATGATGATGTACTGCAGCGACGAGATGAATTTCGGAGGATCGGGCCTCGTCGTTTACAGCATTCACAGCTTCGTATTCTCAGTGGCCGAACTCGGCGAAGCAGGAGAACGCGTTTATTTCTACATCTCGCGCTGGGTGCCCAATTGGTTCCTGGGCGCGCCGTCGCCACTGCCGTGGGCGTCTTCGACTTTTCGGACAGGCTGCCCTTTATCTGCGTTGGCTCCGGGTGGACCGCGACGTCTCGTTCACCGACTCCAGCAACTACGCCCGTTCGGTCAATGCCGCTCGGCGCTGGGAATATTCGCGGCCTCGTTCGTAGAAGTCCACGACGACGCGCTAACGCGCTGCATGGCTGAAGTTCTTGCTTGTCCCAGCGCGAACCGCATCGACCGCGTCTCTGCTTCCGCGCCGTCGTGGCTGGCCGCGCAGTGGCGCCGGGGCGCCGACCGCCTGGCGGACCCTGGCGACCCCTTCGACGAGGGCATTGCAGATCGCACCCCCGTTTGCGCGGGCGTTGCCGCTCGCCGGCCCATCGGGCAAGACGTCCGGCGCATCCCCGACCGCGTCTTCAGGGATCCCATTGCTTCCCGCTA